AATAATACTAAACCATCTTTATGCTGTACTTGTCCAGGTGTATAAGCATTCCAGAAATTCCTAAAATTCTGGTATGTCCTGATATGTTACAGATCATAATTCTAGTTATTATGTTGAAATGTATCACAGAAATAAGCCAATTGCTTGTCAATTTTGATTAGCTCTCATCATTAAATCATAATAATTACAATGAACTACCCCCATTTTTAAGTCTTTTGTCATTTATAGTTATTGTTCTACTCTGATGCTTTTGTAGAAGTGTTTGTGAATCTATAGGTATTCCAGGCAAAGTCTGATGGTGAGTCTTGGCTTGACTTCCTGGCCTTGAGAGCTTTTAAAAGTTCAATCTGATATGGAAGCAATGTTAAGTGTCCATCAGTAGATGAATGGATACACAATGGAATATTATTCAGCCATAAGAAGAAAACAAATCCTACCATTTGCAACAACATGAATGGAGCTAGAGGGTATTATGCTCAGTGAAATAAGCCAGGTAGAGAAAGACAAGTATCAAATGATTTCACTCATTTGTGTAGTATAACAACAAGGCAAAACTGAAAGGAACAAAGCAGAAGCAGACTCACAGACTCCAAGAAGGGACTGGTGGTTACCAAAGGGAAGGGGGTGGGGGAGTGGGGAGGATGGGTGGGAAGGGAGGAGATTAAGGGGCATTATAATCAGTAATCACAATATAGGTTGGTCATGGGGAAGGCAGAATAGCACAGAGAAGACAAATAGTGACTCTATACCTTCTTACTAACCTGATGGACAGTGACTGCAGTGGGGTTTGTGTGTGAACTTGATAATATGGGTTAATGTTGAAACCTCAATGATGTTCATGTGAAATCTTCATAAGATTGTGTATCAATGATACCTTGATTTAAAAAAAAAACAAAAGAAAGTCTATGGTCAATTGCTATACTTGCTGCAATTATATAAATAACCAGGCCAAGTTCATCAGAACTAGACTTATTTTATAAACAAATTGGTCTTAATTTGGCTATCTTTGGTAGAAATGAAGGTGATTGTAGAGAAAAAAATTACTTTTCAGTAGAAACTGTAATATACATTTGTGGATATCAGATTCTTGTTCCATTCATTATCCTTGAGGTTTTGTTATTTACCTGTACACTTGACTGAATCTTGAATTCTTCTAGTTTCCTCATTATTTACAAATATCCACACTAACAGTTCTCCCTAATAACACATCCAAACTAGTTTTCTCCCATCCTTCTGACCTGGAATCACTAAGAACAAAAGCTGCCCTTCTCCCTGAAATCTCACAAACTGCATATGAATGACTTGTTTAAACCAGATAAATTGCCACAATAGCCCATGATCAGACAATCTTCATGTCTATGTCTGTGGGGGCCACGGAGAAATTTTCCCTGAACACCCAACAACATCATCATCACACATTCAAACTGCAGACGCGTGACCTTGACATCTAGAAATTGTGACTGGCTGCCCCCTGGAATCAGAAACTCGTTTACAGTCTGCTCCAATCATTAACCTTTATTGGTCTTTGGTTTCCATAGAAACTCTTGTTAAATACCGGATTTCTCAGCCTAACTCCTGGGCCCCAGCTGCACCACCAGCTCCTGAAATAAAACACAACTAGCTCACTCAACTGACCGACCTATTGTCAGAGCTGAGAAAGATCCTGGCATATGGAGCGATCTAACATAACCTCAGGACTGTGAAACTTACTTCAATTTTCACAGGCAGATCCAAAGGGGAACAGAATTTACCACCCCAGTACTGGGTTTTATCAAATATTATAATTTTTGTAAATCTAGTAGTTGAAAACTGATGTCTTGTTGCTTTGATCTGCACCATCTATCCATTCATTCCTCAAATATTTACTGAGTGCTGGCTATGTGCAAGGTACTCTGATGTATTATAAAAGGCACAATAAATAGTACCGTCAACTATACTCTCCAATTTTTCATGCATTAAACTTCCCTGATAAGAAAAAAATGAATGTTTGTATCTCCCATTTTCTCACTGCCTCCATTTTATTATTTCAACATTGCCACATTTTACTAGTCAGGTACCCCATGTCCCATTATTCTGTAGTTTCACGTGCATATTGCTTACCTATCACACACCCCACTTGTACTACCTTCCTCCATTCATCTCTGGTTAGCTTTTGTCACTTATTTTCTTCAAGGTCTCCTCAGTGCAGTAATAGCCTGACCTCTTCATGTTTGGGAGTCCCTGTTGAACGACCTACTAGGTGTAATATTTAGGTCACAATATACTTTCTTAGACATTTCTTAGAACTTCATAGACATCGCCATATTTTCTTTTGTCAGGAAATGTTGCTCAAATTGGCATACACTCTCTCTTCCTGTTTTGCTAGTGGGGTCAGAGGATGGGCTGGTGATTTGCTTTGCTCTCAAGTTCGTTTTTCTTCCGTTTCTTGCCTTCTTAGCATTGCAGGGACTGTCCACAGCTCTCCTGCCCCTGCTCCTCAGGGAAAGTACTGCCGATGTAGGCAGAACTAGAGGAGGGGAAAACCTGCCTCGTCGTCTCTCCCTCTCTACTTCAACATTTCTGTCAGTGGCCTTTTCTTTTCCTTGGATCCAGCTGCCTCCCTGCCACCCCCGTCCACACTCCCAGCTCTCTCGTCACTTCCGCCAGTTGGCCTGCCATGGTTTTTATCCTCTACCAGCTTCAAATTCCCTTTTGAAATACCTCATAAGGTGGCTTTCGTTTTCTGACTGGACCATTACTAATTCAGGCACGTTAGATGTGCCAAGCTACACTAAAATTTTCCATCTTCCATTCTCTCCAGCCATCACCTTTCAAAGATTATATAACAGTTTTTATCCTGCAATTCTACCATCAGAATTTTATGTTGCATCTTTGGAAATCTCGTGCTTGTGGAACAGGAGAGAGAGATGTAGACTGAAACTCTGCATTGGCATTTTAAAATTTAACAACGGTTGTTTTCTGTTTATCACTTTTAACAGTTTTAAAAGCTCATAGTGATAAAATGTCAAGGCATCAAAAGGAGAAAAAAAGTGAAATTTAAGCAAGGTTTGTTGACTTGAAATTTCAGAGACTGTGAATTTATATTCTAAATAGAAGTATTTTAGAAAACACTTATGCTTAAACATTAAATACAAAATTGAGCAAAGTTACAAATTTAAAATGCGTACTTCATTGGCTCACTCATTGGAAAGTATTTTAGCACCATGTACTTAGTGCCAGACATATGTAATATACAAGACAAAAATTACTGTCCTTGCATTGTGCTCTTCTCATCCAAGGTAGGAAGCCTGGAACTACCTACATGGCATAAGAAAACTTACTGTGATCCTAATATACCCACATGGCTGATCAAATTGGACAGTAGTAGGCACTTAGAAATGAAAGACACCCACTAATGACATACATACAATGGCCCAAGTGCTATCCAAATCTCAATCTTCCTTCCCATCACAAAGACAGGGAGTTCACACATTCCATTTTCCTGTAGGATGGGTACATGTAGTACAGATGTTCCATTAGTCACATTAGAACGTGACCAGCATTTCCTGCCTACACTGCTGTCCTAAAGTCAGAGGCTGGTCCCTTTGGTAGGCCTATCAGTGTCCTATTTTATGCAACCAGGACAGTTCCTGGCTCCCATACCTCAGCCAGACCCTTCAGAAGCACGCCCCATTCCTGCTACTCTGTCTCCCCAGGCTGCACATCTGACATAGCGTTTTGCTTACTAGTTTATTCCTAAAGTGTGTTCACAGGAGGCTCTATTACTGGTTCAGTTGATTCCTCTTGCTTAGGGGGACATTTCAGAATGCTAACATACATGCTTACAATTACAACAGGTTTGGAATTTAGATTTTGGTAACCAATAGTAAATTTCAATTTTCTAAAAAAGAAAAAAAAGCTGGTTGCTGTTTCTATCTCCCAAAAGAACCAAAGTCAAAACTTTATAAATTTTAAATTGATCGCCCTTTTCCCCTAATTCATTCAATAAGTATTTATGGAGTACTGAGTAGTCAGAGTCTATCAAGACACTGTTCCTTTGAAGAAAACTAGAAGGCCTAGTGATGATGTTCTTTTACAAGGGAGATCAGGAAAAGACCTTTCTGAGTTGACCTTTGAGAAGACTGAATGGGCAGTAAACTGTGCCTATCTTGCACTGCTTTCCAGGCAGAGAACACAAACCCTGAGGGGGACTGCAAGTGAGCTCGGAACAAACCAGCTATTACTGTTGCTTGAACACATAATCCACAGGAGTTTTGGATTTTGTTGTGTGTGTGAAATCATTGGGGGAATACGAACGCGAAGATGCGTTCTGCACTCTGGGAGCTAGATGGAGAACAAGACTGTCCCTGGTGGTGGTGGTGAGGAGCAAAGAAAAAAAGAGGTTAGGAGGTTATAGCAGTGGTCTGGCTCAAAGATGACCGTACACCCTAGTGGTAAACGTAAAGGAAATGCTCTCAGACCCAAAACATTCTGAAGATACAGGGTTTGTGAGTCTTGATGATATTATATTTGTGAGTATATTATATAGTATTAGAAAAAGTAATAAACTACGATTCCTCTGGGTTTTTGAGCAACACAGGGAATGAAAGGGTCAATTACTGAAAATGGGAACACTGGCAAATAGTCTGAAGCATGAGCTTTTTTTTTAGAGAATTTGCCATGCTAAGGCAAGCATCTAAACCAACTGCTGGGTGCTTAAGAAGAGCTCAGGACTGGAGATGATTTGGGTGAAACTGACCTAAGAGTGGGATTCTCAAAGCCAAAGGCCTGGGTCAGGTCACCTAGGCAGGTTGTACTTCAGGGCACATTCAAAGTTCAGAAATCAGGAAAAGGTAGCAAATTGTAACATGACTTAAAGAATTAATTAATCTCAATTAATATATTGCAACTGAAACATGACACTGCTATTAAAATTTTAGCAGTAATCTGGTATTTTCTTATTCAAATGCAAATTATGCATTCTAAGGCTTTCAAAAGACTGTTCTGAAATAACTGCACAATATAGTCAAAACATATTTATTACTTTTTAGTGTCATTTTGTACACTCCAGTACAAATACAAGAATATAGCCATTATTTACAGGTATTGAAAAGAAATCTGTATATTCAAACCCCACATCTAAGTACAGAAACTTAAGTCCTGAACTACAGTAGTTCTGGTTTGATTTCTGCCCTGCCCCCTCCCCTTTGAAACAAATCCCTTGAAGCTAAGCTTGCGTTTAAACAGAACAAGATTGTTTTTGAAATGGGTAACACAATTCATTCTTTGCAAAGTTTTATAAGCACCTCTTTTCCAAGATTTACAGGTGTCACACATATAAAATTCAGAAGATAAAACCATTCATCTGGACCTAAAAGAAACAATGTTTTATAAAGGGCTGAAGCTTGGAATTTTTGGTGCTGCTTAAAATATGGAATTATAAAGTTTAAAAATTAAGAGTTAGTCACACTAAGCAGAAAAAAAAGGGAAAAAAGGTTGGGAAGCTGGTTCTTCAGAGGAAAGACTTTCTAACAGACCCACCTTCACAAAATACATTTTTTTTCAGTATCAGTTTTTAAGGTTTGAATCTAAGACTACTAATGTCCTTTTCAAAAAAGGAAAAAAATTAAAAAACCTGAGGTTTCCTAGGGGCTCTTCATATAATCTACTTTCAAATGATCTGAACCAAGGTCCCCATCAAAATTAGATAACATGTTCAAAGCCATGGCAACTGGCCAACTAGATAAAAGAGTATTTTCTTAGATACTATGCCTGTTTTAATGAACATACCCAGGTTACCTCAAGAACGTTAGTAGCTGGATACCATGTCTGTATTAAAGTGCAATGTTTAAGATCATTTACTACAGGATAGTAAGTGAATCAAATATTGTAAAAATATTTCCACAAAAAATTTTAATTTTATGTTTAAAAATCCGCATTTCAAATTAGGCATCTTCTATATGTATGTGAGCAATTCATTCAGGGGTGTGAACGTTTTTTAAAGCAAAGGAATAAGGTGACACAGATCAATGATCTATTAGCAAATCAATTCAAATTTACCTTAAATCACAAGTTGCCATCTGACCAGGAAACATCTGCCTCCTACATCACAAATTGCTCACTTCTTTCCAGACAAGACACAGGACTGCATCAGGAAGGGTCCTTAGCTTAACAGTTTTTCCGAGTTTGTTTACATGCACTCATCAAGTCCAGCAAATGTTAACAATCTCACAGATAACGAACATTTCATTGATATTTTATGACATTTGTCTTAACATTTTAAAAGTATTCTCATGTTACAATTTTAAAAACTCAGCTTCCGGTATAAAATTTTAATTCCTCCTAATTACACTGGAACATTTTTGTATTTTAGTAAATACCCATACTATTGCTGACAGTTTACTTTTCAAAATTTATTGAAAACCTGAACATTATTATCTTCTATACTTTAAATATGCTTAAAGCATAAGAGCAGTTTCAAAATTTTAGTATTCCAGAATGTAGTAACATTAATGTCTACCATCACAAAATAAGCCCTTGGTGCTGGCAGTTCTGAAAGCACATGAATAGATCTGCCTCAACAGGGAAAAAAAGTCTCTTAAATTGGGTAAGTCAAAGATTTTTAAATTAAAATATTTTTCTGCATAAAGAAACCCTTGTGGATTTAATACTGGCAATGTCATGCTACGGTCATATGACCAATATTTTAGCAAAGGAAAAAAAAAGCCAAGGTAATTTTATAGTAGCAATAAGTTTCTTTTTTTATTTTAATATACTTTAGGAAACAATATACAAAGCTGAGCTTTCCCACCATTTCCAGATAACAGCAGGAAGCTCCAATTACACAAATTTAGCGTTTTGTGATGGCTAAGAACAGCAGTCAGCACCAGACTTGAACAGTTAGCTACAACACAAACATCCTTCAAAATGAAATGTCATAACAGCAAGACAGGTAAACCAGAGTTTAACAAATGACAACCACTTGGGAAGTGACTTAATTATTCTTGTTGAATTTCATATTTCATTAAATATCTTATACACAATTTCCTGTTACTTTGCTTTAAACAAACCTCATTTAAGGAATTATTTCAATTAAGTATAAATATTCAACAAGAATAGTTCTTTATTATGAAGAATCCCCAGTAGTTCAAATTCTAATATGCACTGACCAAAGGAAAAGAAAAATAACAATTTTTGTGTTTTATAACATGTTTATTACAACAGATACAATTCACATCTGACTAGCTTTGTTTCCTCTTTCCCTCCCACAACCATGTTCATTGGGCCACTTTCTTATATTTGAGCAATCAATGTACTTTTAGCACACATGCTCAGCAGTACTTTTTTTAAGTCTATTCTTACAACAGGGTGCAAATGGATTTCAATAATTTATACAAACAAGTGGGTTATGCTCAATCACCGCAATTTTAAGCTACTGTACACAGGAATGAAAAGGTTATAGAAAAGTGCCATAGCAACAGTGCCTTAAGAAAGAGGAGCCTTAAAAAAAATGGATAAAATCAGATCAAGGATTTCAGAGGGAAATGGAACACACAGGAATTGAAAAACATTTCTCTGCAAAACAAATGGAGAAGCACTGCTCTTGATCAGGTGCAAGTGTGGAAACAGTTATTTCATGATACTTTGTACATTGCCCATATGGTTCAAAATAGTATCCTCAGACACAGATCGCCTGGCGCTTGCACTGAATTTTTGAAAATGCAAGATTTCTGAATGATAAATTAACCCCCCCAAATTTTTTTTATAAAAGCTATTTGCAGACAGGTTTACATGTAAAAGGCTAGTTATTTAGCCACCTCAGCATTGATTAGTTTTGGATGTCTAAGCTCTGTTACACATGGCTTCCCATGGCTTCACTCTACAAAACATATTTACAACGTGAAGAATACATCTACAAGAAATCTACATTTCAAGGGTTTTACAAATCAATCTTGTATCTTTCCCCTGAATAGACTCACAAACCCCATCCCCTTGTCATTTCCTTTGCCCAGCTTAACGGTCCAAAGTCTACTTAAATGCAGCTCAAAAATGTTAAGATTGGGCTAAACAGATTTACAGTTCCTGTACTCAAAACCATGTGCAATTATTCACATCTTCACACCATGAAGGAATTCTGATTTTTTAGTTTTTCGAGTTCCTTGATTTGTTGTCTCAAAAATAGTATCCTGAAAAACAAAAGAAGGTGTCAGAACCTGTGTTCACATTTATTTTTTTAAAAAGAAAATCCAAACTTTTAACTACAAAAATACCAAACAGTAACTACTAATTAAGACAAAATAATAACTGATTAGAATTAAGACAAAATAAACAGTGGATATGAGGTATATATTATTAGGATCACAAAAGCGAGAATGTTTCCTGGATTTCTAACAATTTCTCAACAATTAATCTGAACGTAAGAATGATTTTTTTGTTGTTGTTCTCTTTATCATCATACACACAACACACTGAAAAAGACTAGATACTAAGCATGAGATAGGCCTGTATTGCCTGTTTTCTAGGTCACAATATATCAAGTATAGAATAAACAGGTATAAGAGGCTCATTGTTTTGAAGAAAAATTCTCAATGTAAAAACGTAAGTTCATAAGGATGAAGCCAAGTTCAAGTGAAACTGACATGTACATTTAACATAAACTTCATAGATAGAGTTCCATGAACTCTTCTGACCTCTCTCTTCTGTGAAATATGCCACTTATTGCCTGTACCAGTGAATTAGGCATAATCATATACTGGCTCGGTGTTTGTGTACACTGTTCCAGTTAAGTTGCAATGAAGAGTAGTATTCTTTCCTAAAAGTCAAATCATCTATCAAGCAAAAATGAAGTTTTATGTACGTTACAATTACTTTCACAGCAATCCTAGAGTAAACAAATTCCAGCTGATATTCAAGATGTACCTCCAAATATTTTTTTTTAGTATTTGAAAGGTTGGATAAAAACTCACTTTTCTAAGGTTACTATATGTAAATCCCAAACTCATATTTACTAAATATTGGTGGTTTCATGACAAGATTAATTCTATTTGTGACCTAGTAGCTTATCTATACAGGATGTGAAACCAGGTTTGTCCTCGACTTTGTAATAAGCATTTTAAAAAGTATCTATACTACTTACAAGGATGCAGATATCCTAACGAGTAGAATATCAGATTAAAAATATGAAACGAGTTTAGGTGAAAACAATTAAGAAAACAGGTATGTATCATTAAACTTGCTGGATGACTAAATTCTTACTGTAATTTCCAAGAGATCTAATGGTGATGGCAAGGACAATGTATACAGTGCCCTGAAATTAAGTAACCTCAATAGTACAGTGCTACCCTCAATTCAAGAGGACCTTTGTAATTAGCTGCTGTCAACATTTCACTTTTAAGTGTTGGAAGAAAAAAAGGCTAATGCAGCATTAACCATGGGTTAAGATACCATCTAGAGATGCCACTACCATTGACCAGGAGTATTACTAAATTATGAAAATACAGTTATAGTGTTATGGGACATGACACAATATATCAAGAACTTTAAATTTCAGTAATGAAATTTATGTCTTCAGTCTCATTTAAGATAGATCTACAATGCTAAGGGACAAAAAAATTTATTTCAGCAAAAAACTTACCTTTGCTCTCGCAAAGTTGCTTGAATTTCACATACTCGGACTAAAGATCTTAAATTTTTTAATTCAGTACAAATTTCTGACATGTGAACACTTCCCATGTTATGGGCTTCTTCTCTCAATCTTGATGCCTATAATTACAGAAGTGAAAATCATGTAAAAGATGAGTCAGTCTCATACAAAAAATAAAACATTATTACATTTCTGAGTAGAACATATACCAAGATTACACAATCCTTTTCCTTAAAATAAACAAAATTCTGGTGAATCAAAGGGGGAAAATGATTCTTTAAAAAAACCATCTCTAATGTTGGAAGATATTTTTCAGATTTCCCCTTCAGGTTTCTTTAGAAAACAGTACTTACAATTTCAGAATAATATAGCACTAGGGTAGAAGGACTCATGATTTGTGGCTAAAAAAAAGATGCTGGGTCAGCCAAAGCAAAGTTGAGGTGTAACACTGATAAAAGGGCTTTATGGTATTCCTGCATCATGAGACATACAACTATGCATTCTAAGGCTTTCAAAAGACTGTTCTGAAATAACTGCACAATATAGTCAAAACATATTTATTACTTTTTAGTGTCATTTTGTACACTCCAGTACAAATACAAGAATATAGCCATTATTTACAGGTATTGAAAAGAAATCTGTATATTCAAACCCCACATCTAAGTACAGAAACTTAAGTCCTGAACTACAGTAGTTCTGGTTTGATTTCTGCCCTGCCCCCTCCCCTTTGAAACAAATCCCTTGAAGCTAAGCTTGCGTTTAAACAGAACAAGATTGTTTTTGAAATGGGTAACACAATTCATTCTTTGCAAAGTTTTATAAGCACCTCTTTTCCAAGATTTACAGGTGTCACACATATAAAATTCAGAAGATAAAACCATTCATCTGGACCTAAAAGAAACAATGTTTTATAAAGGGCTGAAGCTTGGAATTTTTGGTGCTGCTTAAAATATGGAATTATAAAGTTTAAAAATTAAGAGTTAGTCACACTAAGCAGAAAAAAAAGGGAAAAAAGGTTGGGAAGCTGGTTCTTCAGAGGAAAGACTTTCTAACAGACCCACCTTCACAAAATACATTTTTTTTCAGTATCAGTTTTTAAGGTTTGAATCTAAGACTACTAATGTCCTTTTCAAAAAAGGAAAAAAATTAAAAAACCTGAGGTTTCCTAGGGGCTCTTCATATAATCTACTTTCAAATGATCTGAACCAAGGTCCCCATCAAAATTAGATAACATGTTCAAAGCCATGGCAACTGGCCAACTAGATAAAAGAGTATTTTCTTAGATACTATGCCTGTTTTAATGAACATACCCAGGTTACCTCAAGAACGTTAGTAGCTGGATACCATGTCTGTATTAAAGTGCAATGTTTAAGATCATTTACTACAGGATAGTAAGTGAATCAAATATTGTAAAAATATTTCCACAAAAAATTTTAATTTTATGTTTAAAAATCCGCATTTCAAATTAGGCATCTTCTATATGTATGTGAGCAATTCATTCAGGGGTGTGAACGTTTTTTAAAGCAAAGGAATAAGGTGACACAGATCAATGATCTATTAGCAAATCAATTCAAATTTACCTTAAATCACAAGTTGCCATCTGACCAGGAAACATCTGCCTCCTACATCACAAATTGCTCACTTCTTTCCAGACAAGACACAGGACTGCATCAGGAAGGGTCCTTAGCTTAACAGTTTTTCCGAGTTTGTTTACATGCACTCATCAAGTCCAGCAAATGTTAACAATCTCACAGATAACGAACATTTCATTGATATTTTATGACATTTGTCTTAACATTTTAAAAGTATTCTCATGTTACAATTTTAAAAACTCAGCTTCCGGTATAAAATTTTAATTCCTCCTAATTACACTGGAACATTTTTGTATTTTAGTAAATACCCATACTATTGCTGACAGTTTACTTTTCAAAATTTATTGAAAACCTGAACATTATTATCTTCTATACTTTAAATATGCTTAAAGCATAAGAGCAGTTTCAAAATTTTAGTATTCCAGAATGTAGTAACATTAATGTCTACCATCACAAAATAAGCCCTTGGTGCTGGCAGTTCTGAAAGCACATGAATAGATCTGCCTCAACAGGGAAAAAAAGTCTCTTAAATTGGGTAAGTCAAAGATTTTTAAATTAAAATATTTTTCTGCATAAAGAAACCCTTGTGGATTTAATACTGGCAATGTCATGCTACGGTCATATGACCAATATTTTAGCAAAGGAAAAAAAAAGCCAAGGTAATTTTATAGTAGCAATAAGTTTCTTTTTTTATTTTAATATACTTTAGGAAACAATATACAAAGCTGAGCTTTCCCACCATTTCCAGATAACAGCAGGAAGCTCCAATTACACAAATTTAGCGTTTTGTGATGGCTAAGAACAGCAGTCAGCACCAGACTTGAACAGTTAGCTACAACACAAACATCCTTCAAAATGAAATGTCATAACAGCAAGACAGGTAAACCAGAGTTTAACAAATGACAACCACTTGGGAAGTGACTTAATTATTCTTGTTGAATTTCATATTTCATTAAATATCTTATACACAATTTCCTGTTACTTTGCTTTAAACAAACCTCATTTAAGGAATTATTTCAATTAAGTATAAATATTCAACAAGAATAGTTCTTTATTATGAAGAATCCCCAGTAGTTCAAATTCTAATATGCACTGACCAAAGGAAAAGAAAAATAACAATTTTTGTGTTTTATAACATGTTTATTACAACAGATACAATTCACATCTGACTAGCTTTGTTTCCTCTTTCCCTCCCACAACCATGTTCATTGGGCCACTTTCTTATATTTGAGCAATCAATGTACTTTTAGCACACATGCTCAGCAGTACTTTTTTTAAGTCTATTCTTACAACAGGGTGCAAATGGATTTCAATAATTTATACAAACAAGTGGGTTATGCTCAATCACCGCAATTTTAAGCTACTGTACACAGGAATGAAAAGGTTATAGAAAAGTGCCATAGCAACAGTGCCTTAAGAAAGAGGAGCCTTAAAAAAAATGGATAAAATCAGATCAAGGATTTCAGAGGGAAATGGAACACACAGGAATTGAAAAACATTTCTCTGCAAAACAAATGGAGAAGCACTGCTCTTGATCAGGTGCAAGTGTGGAAACAGTTATTTCATGATACTTTGTACATTGCCCATATGGTTCAAAATAGTATCCTCAGACACAGATCGCCTGGCGCTTGCACTGAATTTTTGAAAATGCAAGATTTCTGAATGATAAATTAACCCCCCCAAATTTTTTTTATAAAAGCTATTTGCAGACAGGTTTACATGTAAAAGGCTAGTTATTTAGCCACCTCAGCATTGATTAGTTTTGGATGTCTAAGCTCTGTTACACATGGCTTCCCATGGCTTCACTCTACAAAACATATTTACAACGTGAAGAATACATCTACAAGAAATCTACATTTCAAGGGTTTTACAAATCAATCTTGTATCTTTCCCCTGAATAGACTCACAAACCCCATCCCCTTGTCATTTCCTTTGCCCAGCTTAACGGTCCAAAGTCTACTTAAATGCAGCTCAAAAATGTTAAGATTGGGCTAAACAGATTTACAGTTCCTGTACTCAAAACCATGTGCAATTATTCACATCTTCACACCATGAAGGAATTCTGATTTTTTAGTTTTTCGAGTTCCTTGATTTGTTGTCTCAAAAATAGTATCCTGAAAAACAAAAGAAGGTGTCAGAACCTGTGTTCACATTTATTTTTTTAAAAAGAAAATCCAAACTTTTAACTACAAAAATACCAAACAGTAACTACTAATTAAGACAAAATAATAACTGATTAGAATTAAGACAAAATAAACAGTGGATATGAGGTATATATTATTAGGATCACAAAAGCGAGAATGTTTCCTGGATTTCTAACAATTTCTCAACAATTAATCTGAACGTAAGAATGATTTTTTTGTTGTTGTTCTCTTTATCATCATACACACAACACACTGAAAAAGACTAGATACTAAGCATGAGATAGGCCTGTATTGCCTGTTTTCTAGGTCACAATATATCAAGTATAGAATAAACAGGTATAAGAGGCTCATTGTTTTGAAGAAAAATTCTCAATGTAAAAACGTAAGTTCATAAGGATGAAGCCAAGTTCAAGTGAAACTGACATGTACATTTAACATAAACTTCATAGATAGAGTTCCATGAACTCTTCTGACCTCTCTCTTCTGTGAAATATGCCACTTATTGCCTGTACCAGTGAATTAGGCATAATCATATACTGGCTCGGTGTTTGTGTACACTGTTCCAGTTAAGTTGCAATGAAGAGTAGTATTCTTTCCTAAAAGTCAAATCATCTATCAAGCAAAAATGAAGTTTTATGTACGTTACAATTACTTTCACAGCAATCCTAGAGTAAACAAATTCCAGCTGATATTCAAGATGTACCTCCAAATATTTTTTTTTAGTATTTGAAAGGTTGGATAAAAACTCACTTTTCTAAGGTTACTATATGTAAATCCCAAACTCATATTTACTAAATATTGGTGGTTTCATGACAAGATTAATTCTATTTGTGACCTAGTAGCTTATCTATACAGGATGTGAAACCAGGTTTGTCCTCGACTTTGTAATAAGCATTTTAAAAAGTATCTATACTACTTACAAGGATGCAGATATCCTAACGAGTAGAATATCAGATTAAAAATATGAAACGAGTTTAGGTGAAAACAATTAAGAAAACAGGTATGTATCATTAAACTTGCTGGATGACTAAATTCTTACTGTAATTTCCAAGAGATCTAATGGTGATGGCAAGGACAATGTATACAGTGCCCTGAAATTAAGTAACCTCAATAGTACAGTGCTACCCTCAATTCAAGAGGACCTTTGTAATTAGCTGCTGTCAACATTTCACTTTTAAGTGTTGGAAGAAAAAAAGGCTAATGCAGCATTAACCATGGGTTAAGATACCATCTAGAGATGCCACTACCATTGACCAGGAGTATTACTAAATTATGAAAATACAGTTATAGTGTTATGGGACATGACACAATATATCAAGAACTTTAAATTTCAGTAATGAAATTTATGTCTTCAGTCTCATTTAAGATAGATCTACAATGCTAAGGGACAAAAAAATTTATTTCAGCAAAAAACTTACCTTTGCTCTCGCAAAGTTGCTTGAATTTCACATACTCGGACTAAAGATCTTAAATTTTTTAATTCAGTACAAATTTCTGACATGTGAACACTTCCCATGTTATGGGCTTCTTCTCTCAATCTTGATGCCTATAATTACAGAAGTGAAAATCATGTAAAAGATGAGTCAGTCTCATACAAAAAATAAAACATTATTACATTTCTGAGTAGAACATATACCAAGATTACACAATCCTTTTCCTTAAAATAAACAAAATTCTGGTGAATCAAAGGGGGAAAATGATTCTTTAAAAAAACCATCTCTAATGTTGGAAGATATTTTTCAGATTTCCCCTTCAGGTTTCTTTAGAAAACAGTACTTACAATTTCAGAATAATATAGCACTAGGGTAGAAGGACTCATGATTTGTGGCTAAAAAAAAGATGCTGGGTCAGCCAAAGCAAAGTTGAGGTGTAACACTGATAAAAGGGCTTTATGGTATTCCTGCATCATGAGACATACAACTATCTCTGTGGACTTATAGAACATCAATGGTCAGTTATCTGATAAAGGGGAGAAGCCAATGGCACTAACTGCAATGTCCTAAGGTCTCTCATCTCAAAACAAAATGGTTTCCTAACTTCTAGCTGCCAGTTTAGTAGGAGTCATTAGATTAATAGTACTAACAGGTTTCAAAACTGTCAGAGTGGCTGGCTGAGAGGGGAAAAAACACTGGCTTTGAGCTGCATCACACTGCATTAACTGTGTGACTTCAGTATAATCTATTCTAGTCCTAAGGGCTTCCTTTGTTAAGATGGAAAAATACATTATCTTCATTGTTTGCAAAGAAGTGGAGATAAGAAACATAAAGCACTTGCACAGAGCTAAATGCTGAATACCTGATAATGGCAGTACTATGTTAAAGTACTGTATGTGAAACCACAAGAAGTTATGACATGAATACCCTGTAAGTACATATGAACTATTTTATAAAATGACTATAGTATTATTAGAAATTACTTGAAATATAGCTTGAGTGAATTCAGTGGTCCAGGTTAGAGTTTCTAAAAGAAGAACCAAGGTACATATTTGTTAGCCATCCACAGGTAAACATGTGCGATGAATCATGTAACATACCTGCTTCTCTGCATGATCTGCAGGCCACCCTTGAACATGTTTTATGAGATTTTCATTGAAGTGTGCTGCTAGCGTAGGTGTTAATGAACATGTAGGTCGGGCAGATGAATTCTGTGGTACAACTGTTGCATTTGATGCATTACTACTAGAAGTATGATTTGGACCAGGTGATGGACTTCTCTGGCTGCTAGAAAACAAAATTGGATGTGGATTATGTTTAAAAGTTGTTTCTAGGGATCCAGGAGGAAATAGTCTGTCAGTATCTTCTACTGACTTAAAAGATAACCAAATTCCTAAGAAAAATCTGTTATTTTAACATCAAATTAATAGAAATTAAAATACAAAGTAAATTTTACCAGGTATTCCTTAATTCACTTTTGAGGGACAAAAGAATCCTTTTAACACTAATGTCAGTCACATTTAAAGTAACAGGGCTCTACAAATGTGACAGCACAACCTGCTGACTTTGTACACTACAGACACTATTAACAACACTTACTAAGAAATGGTCACATTTTTTTTCACTTATTTGATTTTACAAAACAATTTAAATATTGATTTGTGCCTAGATATTTTTTGGTATCATTAATATACAGTTACATGAACACAGTGGTTACTAGATTCCCGCCATTATCAAGTCTCCACCACATACCCTATTACAGTCACTGTCCGTCAGTGTAATAAGATGCTATAAAATCATTACTTGTCTTCTCTGTGCTATACAGCCTTCCCTGTGCCCCCCACCCCTACATTATGTGTGCTAATCATAATGCCCCCTTTTCCCCCTTGTCCCTCCCTTCCCACCCATCCTCCCCAGTCCCTTTCCCTTTGGTAACTGTTAGTCCATTCTTGGTTTCTGTGAGTCTGCAACTGCTTTGTTCCTTCAGTTTTTTCTTTGTTCTTATACTCCACAGATGAGTGAAATCACCTGATATTTGTCTTTCTCAGCCTGGCTTATTTCACTGAGCATAACACTCTCCAGCTTCATCCATGTTGTTGCAAATGGTAGGATTTGTTTTCTTCTTACGGCTAAATAATATTCCATTGTGTATATATACCACATCTTCTTTATCCATTCATCTACTGATGGACACGTAGGTTGCTTCCATTTCTTGGCTACTGTAAACAGTGCTGCAATAAACACAGGGGTGCACATGTCTTTTTCAAAATGGGCTGCTGTATTCTTAGAGTAAATTCCTTAGGAGTGGAATTCCTGGGTCAAATGGTATTTCTATTTTTAGTTTTTTGAGGAACTTCCATACTGCTTTCCACAATGGTTGAACTAACTTACATCCACACCAGCACCGTAGGAAGGAGGGTTCCCCTTTCTCCACATCCTTGCCAACATTTGTTGTTGTTTGTCTTTTGGATGTTGACCATCCTAACTGGTGCGGGGCGGTATCTCAGTGTGGTTTTAATTTGCATTTCTCTGATGATTAGCGATGTGGAGCATCTTTTCATGCGCCTGTTGGCCATCTATCTGAATTTCTTCTTTGGAGAAGTGTCTGTTGAGATCCTCTGCCCATTTTTTAATTGGGTTATTTGCTTTTTGTGTGTTGAGGTGCATGAGCTCTTTGTATATTTTGGATGTCAACCCTTTATTGGATCTGTAATTTATGAATATATTCTCCCATACTGTAGGATGCCTTTTTGTTCTAGTGATGGTGTCCTTTGCTGTTTAGTTTGAAGCTTTTAGTTAGAAGCTTTTTAGTTTGATAGAGTCCCACTTGTTCATATTTGCTTTTGTTTCCCTTGCCCAGGGAGATATGTTCATGAAGACGTTGCGCATGTTTATATTCAAGAGTTTTGCCTATATTTTCTTCTAAGAGTTTTATGGTTTCATGACATACATTCAGGCATTTGATCCATTTCGAATTTACTTTTGTGTATGGAGTTAGACAATAATCCAGTTTCATTCTCTAACATGTAGCAGTTTTGCCAATACCAGCTGTTGAAGAGGCTGTCATTTCCCCCACTGTATGTCCATGGCTCCTTTACCATATATTAATTGACCATATATGCTTGAGTTAATATCTGAACTATCTATTCTGTTCCACTGGTCCAGTCATCCACTGGGTCTGTTCTTGTGTCAGTAACAAATTGTCATGATAGTAGAGCTTGAAGTTGGGAAGCAAGATGCCCCCTGCTTTATTCTTCCTTCTCAGGATTGCTTTGGCTATTTGGGGTCTTTGGTGGTTCCATATGAATTTTAGAACTATTTGTTCCAGTTTGTTGAAGAATGCTGTATTTTGATAGGGATTGCTCTGAATCTGAAGTTTAGCCAGGATGGCCATTTTAACAATTTTAATTCTTCCTACCCAAGAGCATGGGATGAATTTCCATTTATTAGTTTCCTATTTAATTTCTCTTAAGTGTGTCTTGTAGTTTTCAGGGTATAGGTCTTTCACTTCCTTGGTTAGGTTATTCCTAGGTATTTAATTCTTTTTGATGCAGTTGTGAATGGAATTGTTTTCCTGATTTCTCTTTCTGCTAGTTCATCATTAATGTATAAGAATGCAACAGATTTCTGTGTATTAATTTTCTATCCTTTAACTTTGCTGAATTCAGATATTAGTTCTATTAGTTTTGGAGAGGAGGTGTTTAGGGTTTTTTATGTATGATATCTTGTCATCTGCAAACAGTGACCGTTTGACTTCTTCCTTACCAATCTGGGTGCCTTTTATTTCTTTGTGTTGTCTGATTGCCATGGTTAGGACCTCCAGTACTACATTGAATACAAGCAGGGAGAGTGGGCATCCTTGTCTTGTTCCCGATCTTAAAGGAAAAGCTTTCAGTTTCTCACTGTTAAGTATAATGTTGGCTGTGGGTTTGTCATATATGGTCTTTATTATGTTGAGGTACTTGCCCTCTATACTCATGTTGCTGAGAGTTTTTATCATGAATGGATGTTGAATTCTGTCAAATGCTTTTTCAGCATCTATGGAAATGATCACGGAAAATTTTTGTCCTTTTTCTTGATGTGGTGGATGATGTTGATGGATTTTCTAATGTTGTACCATCCTTGCATCCCTGGGATGAATCCCACTTGATCATGGTGTATGATCCTCTTGATGTATTTTTGAATTCGGTTCGCTAATACTTTGTTGAGTATTTTTGCATCTATGTTCATCAGGGTTATTGGTCTGTAGTTTTCTTTTTCTGTGGTGTCTCTGCCTGTTTTTGGTATTAGAGTGATGCTGGCTTCATAGAATGAGTTTGGAAGTATTCCTTCCTTATCTATCTTTTGGAAAACTTTAAGGAGAATGGGTATTATGTCTTCTCTAAATGTCTGATAAAATTCAGTGGTGAATCCATCTGTTCTGGGTGTTTTGTTCTTGGGTAGTTTTTTGATTACTGATTCAATTTCATTGCTGGTAATTGGTTTGTTTAGATATTCTGTTTCTTCCTTGGTCAGTCTTGGAAGGTTGTATTTTTGTAGAAAGTTGTCCATTTCTTCTAGGTTATCCAGTTTGTTAGCATAAGATTTTCATAGCATTCTCTAATAACTCTTTGTATTTCTGTGGTGTGCATCATGATTTTTCCTTTCTCATTTCCAATTCTGTTTATGTGTGTAGATTCTCTTTTTTTCTTAATAAGTCTGGCTAGGGGTTTATCTATTTTGTTTATTTTCTCAAAGAACCAGCTCGTGGTTTCATTAATTTTTTCTATAGTTTTGTTCTTCTCAATTTTATTTATTTCTTCTCTAATCTTTATTATCTTCCTCCTTCTTCTGACTTTGGGCTTCATTTGTTCTTCTTTTTCCAGTTTCAATAATTGTGACTTTAGACTATTCATTTGGGATTGTTCTTCCTTCTTTAAACAGGCCTGGATTGTTACATACCTCCCTCTTAGAACTGCCTTTGCTGTGTCCCAGAGAAGTTGGGGCGTTGTGCTGTTGTTTTCATTTGTCTCCATATATTGCTTGATCTCTGTTTTAATTTGGTCATTGATCCATTATTTAGGAGCATGTTGTTAAGCCTCCATGTGTTTGTGAGCCTTTTTGTTTTCTTTGTACAATTTATTTCTAGTTTTATACTCCTGTGAGCTGAGAAGCTGGTTGGTATAATTTCAATCTTTTAATTTACTGAGGCTCTTTTTGTGGCCTAGTATGTGGTCTTTCTGGAAAATGTTCTGTGTGCACCTGAAAAGAATGTGTATCTTGCTGCTTTTGGGTGTAGAGTTCTGTAGATGTCTGTTAGGTCCTTCTGTTCTAATGTGTTGTTCAATGCCTCTGTGTCCTTACTCATTTTCTGTCTGGTTAATCTGTCCTTTGGAGTAGCGTGCTGAAGTCTCCTAGAATGAATGCATTACATTCTATTTCCCCTTTTAATTCTGTTATAATTTGTTTCACATATATAGATGCTCCTGTGTTGGGTGCATAGATATTTATAATGTTTATGTCCTCTTGTTGGATTGACCCCTATCATCATCTAATGTCCTTCTTTGTCTCTTGTGACTTTCTTTGTTTTGAAGTCTATTTTGTCTGATAGCAGTACTGCAACACCTGCTTTTTTCTCCCTATTAGTTGCATGAAATATCTTTTTCCATCCCTTCACTTTTAGTCTGTTTGAGTTTAAGGTGAGATTCTTTTAGGCAGCATATAGTTGGATCTTGTTTTTTATCCATTCAGTGACTCTATGTCTTTTGATTGGTACATTCAGACCATTATATTTAGGGTGATTATCGATAGGTACGCACTTATTGGCAAGAAATGGTCACATTTTAACAGTTGTAGATAGAAGGCACACCTGAATATGTATCCTAAATGCATATAGATAAGGACGGGAAGAAATGTATCACTGGACTTTTAACATCAGAACAAAATGTTGCATCAGAGCGTGATAACATGAAGCAAAATATAGACATTTTATTGGAAAACAATTAATGAGTTCAGCGGCAAAGTAAGACCACAAAAACATTAACACTCTGAGGCTGGTTATCTTCTTTTAAAACTGTACAGCTTGGACTAGGATTTGGGGATATAGTGGTAAAAAACAAAAATTTAATCACCCACGTTGATTTCCTACCTGCTTCACCAAACTTGGCTCTAAACGAATTTCAGTTATTTCCAAAAACTCAATCTCCCAAAGGATGAAGAATTTTCATCACTGAGGATACTTAAAATAATACTGCAGCCTCTAAAAACAATTTAGAAGAATTTCCCAAAAATGTTCTGATCAATGGCAACATTGCTGGAGTAAGTGGACAGCTTCCGAAGGTGATTATTTTGAAAGGACAACTCTCATTTGGTGTACAAGTTCTAAAATGCTCATTTAGAAAATAAAAACAACAATTGAATTATTTTGCCACACTACAGCAAGAAATAAAAATAGGAAAACCAATCAAGTAAAAATAATTTAAAGCTGTACTTGTTAATTAACAAAGAGAAGTGACAACACAATATAGCCCTGACAAGCAATTCATAGTCAGAGCTGAAGCTAATAGAAAAACCTGACACACCAGTTGGGAAATATTGGCCCACGTTTTAGATGTAAAGAATTTTGGCTTCATCAGTACACTCAAATCTAAAAATGAGGTGGTTAAAAATGATGTTATTTACAACAAAGAAAAGTATTATGAAATCATGTGCCCTCTTTGTACAAGTATCACATACTGTTACTCTCATTATAGTCCACTAAGTAAAATTCTAAACAGCTACTTTCTTCAAAGTAACTGGGCCTTACTACTGAGACAACAATCCACTTGTAGATTAGATGAACCTCTGTAAATTTTATAATACATAATACTAAGTCAAGCTATCATGGGTTCTTCCAAGGTCAAATTTATATCATACATATATAATGCTTGAACAATGCAGCATGCAGTATTAAAGAAAAAATAATGTTGTTTCAATACACATCAACTTACTTTGACCGCTGAAGACTTCGAGGAGAGACAGGTTCATGACCTTGCTGTTTGTCAGCAGTTACAGGCTGCTGTGTGGCTGACTGTGAAACTGGTCCTTGCTTAACTACTGGAGTACTAACCTGAAATGTCAAACTCTAGTGAGACAGGCTTCTATCACATGGGCAAATAGCATGGAAACAAGATAAAAGTGTAAGTTCCATCAATGCAACTTCCCTACTATCTCTATTCCTCAGTAATTTTTAACAATAGTTGCCCTAATTCTGTTTCATAAGATTAATACTAGTAATACATATTTCACTGTGTAAATTATTGTCATTTAGGCCCCAAATACCTACACCCCTCCAAATCTAGTTAATAATCTTAAGCACTGTAAAATCTAGAGATTTAAAGAAGTGGAATCAAATGAGTTTCCTTCCCAAAAGCCATGTAGTCATAGAGAGTCTAGTTTTAAGACCTAGCTCTAATTTCTGCATAAAATGGCCCAGGCCATAAAAATTACTTTCTTAGTTCATCAGCATTACAAAACCAGTTCTCCTGATTTTGAGCCCAGTTTTCTTCCCAATACACTGCAATACTTCTTCTGATGTACTGTTACTTATATATCAATAAAAATAAATATTATCACATCATACAAAAAAAGCTGCTCAAATTTCAACCACATATGCAAAGAATGTATAGAATGTCCTATTAGAGATTGACCTATGGCCCATATAAAATTCAATTTGAGTTATCTTCAAAGAGATGTTACTCTCTAGAGGTAGACCAAGAGGTCCATGATTACCAGTGGGGACACAAACACTATTCACATTCAGATGCCACAGAAAAAAGACAAGCGGTTTTAAATGTTAAGTCCCAAATTAAGGTACAAAGGCAGACAGAGCCAAGTGTGATTAAGTCACATCCTCCAGCAGCAGTTTTATTTTCTTTTGTTTTTTGTGATTAATATTATCCCCAACAAATCCAGAATAATAAAGAACACATTTTTTATAATGAACATTTTTAATAAGATCTACATAATATTGAAAATCCACTTTTAAAAAAAACTTGAACAAGTTTCTGAATGCAAAAAACTGAGAGCCATCTGCTTAAGAGATCTGAAATGCTAATTTTATAAATGACTGTAAAACTTAACACTCCACTTATTTAACTTTTAGTCATCAATTGGTACTCTTTAGGATACCACTCTGAAGATGTTTTAGACTCTAAGAATAAGGTCTCTTGTTGAAACTCACAATCCTTCTCCCATCAAAATACAAGCAAACAAGGAGTCACATAATGAACAATTTTAACTCAGAATTTTAAAGATCAATCTAGACTGACTCTAAAACATGCACAGATAAATGGCTTACCTAAGGAAGGGATGAACCAGTAAGACCTAAAAGCCGGCCTACGATCAACTTCGAGCTATGTTTTAATGCATTTTTATTTTCAGTCTTTTGCTTATGACTTTCTTTGAAATAAATCATTCTTTGGCATAAAAGTTTGAAACAGCCCAGTATTTTACAACAAGTAAAATGAATTTCCTCCTACATTTACCATTAAAAAAATAAATCACTACTTATGTAAGGCTGCTTCCAGTTGCTCTTATCTATTAAATGAGGCTAACAGCAGTCGATTCTTAGGATGTGAAAGTTAAATATAATAACATACAAAGCTCTGAGCTTTGAACTAACTCATTTCTGAAATAAAAGTATGGAGGAAAACTCACTGGAAAACATGTTCTCTCATATCTTCTAGACTCTGAAAATTCTACAAATATTAAGACTCAATAAACCCTTCTTTACTCCACTCTCCACGTCACAAATCCCAAAACCAAGAAAGAAGAGTCAGTGCACAGGAAGTAGCACGGATGCAATTCCTTCTTCCACCACTCAAGTAACTGAAAGATTCTAGCCTGAATCTCTTCTCACTCACCTGTCACTCACTCCACCACTACTCCATTTTCAAAGAGGACTTGTTCTACAATATAAAATCTAAAACATTATTAACCTTATTATACCAAAAGTATGCAGTTTTCCCCCAAATTTCCCTCAAAAGAGACATACCTTTGGCTGTGAAGAAACAGGAGGAGTACTGATCAAAGGTTTGATAGGGACTGTGTTAGTCTGAGGTGTGCTTATTCTTGGAGACACATACGATCTTGGGGATGATGCATCGGACGTTAAAGACATCGGAGACTGATTAGATGGCGGGGCTGTGAAAGAGTAAAGCACTTAATTTCAAAGAACCCAAAAACCCCTGTAATATATATAGGGGAGATCTCTGCATCTCTCCACACGCCCTTTACCACAGAGAGAGAACACGTAACTGAAAAAGTCAGAATCTGAGATACTCACTGGGAACACAAAGCTAAATGAACTTGTGTGTCAGAGATAAGCACACCCAACCCAGTAGACATCCCTACCACCCTTTCTTGGATTGGATCAAGTAGGTAAGCCCAAACCTATTCTCATAGGGAAGGCATCCTCGCCGTCCTTTCTTCTTTCTTATCCTACATTTCGGCGTGGTTATCCCCCTCAGCCTCTTCTCTCCTGAAGCTTTTCAGGGGATTATGAAAAGTTTCTTCACTATGATACTTTAGTTTTAGACCAGATTTTCTTGCTCCATTTATCAGCTTTCTGAATTGGGGCTGGAGGACAAGTCCAAGTGACCCTTTCATTTTTCCCTTTTGTTCCTTTGTTTCTCTCCACTGACAGCTTCATGGAGAAGCTCGATAGCTAATTCAAGGCAGGATTTGAGCATTTCTTTCTGTATCCTCTAATCAAAACCATCTAACACCAACCTGAACCAAACTTCAACTGTTAGAAAAATATATTCACAAAGACTTTGTGGAAAAAAAAAAAGATTTCACAAAGACTAAAGATATATCACAGTTTACATTCAGCTTTGGAGTAAACTATTTCAGTAAGTTAAAATTTGAGTTAAATATATATTACAGATTTGGTGGCAATACTGTAAGATAAATGTCAAAGCTTGCTTCATCTAAAAAGGTAAAAAAAAAAAAAAATGCTACTGTATACTAGTCTTAAAAAAAAAACCAAACAAAATAATTATTATGGCTATCTCCTCAAAGACTAAAAAAATCTATTCTTTCCCCTCCCCCAAATCAAGACAAAATTCTAGAAATATTTAAGAATATGAATACCTTGTGTAGAGAGCTGAGCAGCTTGAGAAATCAGAGAAGTTATGTTGAAAGCAGATGGTCCAGCAGTAAGAAACTTATGAATTATAGACTGCAATGAGGCTTGTGTCACAGCTGCTGTAAGAACTAAAAATATATGTCTTAAATTAAAATAAAAACAGGCATATGTGCCATTAGTAACAACTTGAAAACTCAAAAAGAACCCAGAAAAAAATGGAGCACTTGAAACTAAGACTGTCAAAATTAAGTCTAGAAGATGGAAATAATAAAATGGGTCTAGAGATATAAATGATCTGAGGCAGAGGGAAAGGAATTTAATAGTTTTGTAACAAAGGAAAACAAGAGTTTCCTTTACACTAAATTTTAGGTGTTCGTAAAACTGAGAAATTTTCAAAATAGTGAACAGTGTTCACTCAAACATCTGATTATACCAGGAACTATCCCTATATAGGTGCAGTACTTACTACATGGTATTAACTGGATAAATGGTAGCTAGCTCATGCGACTGCTTTATTAGATAAGCTGACCACTAAAACCCTACATCAACACCCACTCCAATTATCTTTTAAAAATGGATATGAAAAAGCTGGGTACTTAGGAATACCATGTATTTTTGAAGCATAAGATCTTTTATTATTGACATTCTCTTAGCATGCTATCCTTTCTTTGAACTGTTTAAAAGCCCTACTTTGCCTAGTAAGACACTTTTATGTACCAAACAAGGGAATGGCATGGTTGTCTTAAAAATCAAAATACAGAAAAGAATATTAATGACCAATTAGCCTAAAAAAACTCCACTTTTTGGATAAAAAACTTAACCACTTAACACTACTATTTAATAATATATAATAATGAAAATGTACACAAATAGAAATTGATTACTCTTAGCAGAAAATTTTTTAATGCTCTTGGGATTTAATATTTGAATCTGAATGGCTTAAATTGAAACATTTTACCCAGACTTCTTTAAAGTGGCTGTCTAAATAGTTTAGTAGCACACTGAACAACAAAGTTGGAATTAACAATACAAATCAACTTGGAAATATAGCAAAATGTTATTCAGAAACTTTTTTCAAGTATTTTAAAAAGGAACTACCCAAATTTCTATTCACTAATTAGCATATATTAAATATTCCAAATAATTACTTACCCATATATATGAGGTTTTTCAAACTATGCTAGAAATCAAAAGTGCTTTTATATTAATTTTAGCAAATGCTGTTTTTACTTTTAAAAAAAATCACCATATACACTAAGCAGATAGAACAGCTTATCTCTAGTAGCTACCAGGTACATAGCCAAGTTCTTGAAAAATAAACAGAAAAATCCAAATTACAGTACCAAGGGTCTTACACTACGGGGGATATAAATTTCAAAGAACGAAGTTCAAATGAGAACTTCAAAATGAAAAAAAAAATTCATAAATTGGTATTTTAATAATTAGATATAGTTTGCACAGTGCAAATTAATTTTTTAAAATTGTTACAATGAGGGAGGGAGGAGGGGATTAAGAGACATTATAATCAGCACTCACAAGATAGGTAGGTCACGGGGAAGGCAGTACAGCACGAAGACAAATAATGACTCTACAGCATCTTACTATGCTGACACACAGTGGCTACAATGGCCGGGTTGAGGACTTGTTAATGTGACTGAATGTTGAAACCACAACACTGCTCACATGAAACCTTCATAAAATTGTGTATCAATGATACCTTAACTGAAAAAAAAAATTACAATGAAAATTTACCTTCATTTATTTTGGATATGTCCACATTAGAATTGTTAAGTTGCAGTGTGGCTTGCAAAGCAGGAAGCAACTGTCTAAGAAGATTTGGGTCCTGAAGTAATGGAGGTATGGGTGACTGTGGAACAGGAGAAACAGGGACTGCTGAAGCAGATGTTGGAGGTGCGGATGTGGGATTCAGTCCAGAGGCAGAAGATGTGGAAGGAGTTGTGCAAGAATGTGACACAGATTTGTCTCCTGATGTTGATTCTAAATAAAAAAAGAGATAAGGCTGAAAAAACTACTGGAATAGAGGAAAATGGAGTGAACAAATAAGCATCTTCCATGTGCCAGGCACCTAACCCACTATCATTTAATATTACAAGGTAGAAAATAGAAGGGAACACAATAAATGTATTACTGACTAGAGTAATGAAGCAAGCATTTTTACATTCCAATTTCACAGGTGTGAAAACTGAACAAAATAGATTATGTAATTTGCTTTAAATCACAAAACTTGGTATAGCAGTGATTCAACCATACCTATGTCTGACTCCCTAAGTATGATGCTGTTTACTGTTAATGCTGAAGCACAATTATGTGTCAATTATACACTCAAACAGAGCTTCTATTAGAATAAAGGGACCATATTCTGTAGGACTTAATTATTTGTCTTCATAAAATAACAAGGTTATTTTATGGCCACAATAACAACCTACCTAAATGACAACAGTCTCAATACAAATCTCCATAGGCACCATGGAGCACCCCAGTATGGGCTAAGGATGTGATGAATGAGAGAAGATGCCTACTCTAACCTTTTATACTAGACATTGAGTTTCAGAATTACACGCTTCCATTTTGTAATTAAATACATAAGGCAATGACTATTACTACCTGTAACACTTAAAAATTATTAGCATGGGATTTTCGGGAATTAAAGATGGTGGCGTGAGAAGTGAGACACAGATCTCCTCCTAAAACCACATATAATACAAAAATATAATTAACACAACTAATCCTGAAAGAGCAACAGGAAAGAAGGCTCCAACAGGCTGCACACACCTTGAGAAAAGAACAGACCTCACTGAACAGAGTAAGGTACAAAGGCCATCACCCAGCAGGACCCAAGCCCTTCTCCCACCCCAGCTCAACTGTGGGAGGAAGAGAAACAGAGCAGGAAGAGAGTGGATGCCTGGAACTGCTGAACACCTAGCCCTGGAGATCTGCTATGGGAGAACAAACCTACATTGCATGGTGCTCTGATGATTAGTGGGGAGGATGCAGAATACCTGGAGAGACAGAGATTCCAGCTGCTTGTGGAAAACAGGGATCCATATCTGGCTGATCTAAGTGGGCAGTCTGAGAGACTTCCTAAATGCGAGAGGGGAGCTAAAGGGGCAAGGATTGCACAAAGCTTACTGCTCAGGAGAAAGGGCAGGTAGACAAAATTCCAGGTGCACTCTGCCCAGCAGGTTGGGAACTTCCACAATCTTCAGGCGCTCCAACCCCGTGGCTGGCTATGCAGCTCCAAGGCCCCCCACCGTAACACACAGCCTGCTGCGCCTTCCTCCCGGCCAGCCTGCACCTGTCTTGCAAACTGGCAAACCATGCCCTGGCATCAGGCAAGACAGAGGGAAGCCCCGCCTACAGCAGCTACAAACACAAAGCACAGAGGCTTACATCTGTGTGTTCAGCCCACTGCTTCAGGCAGTGGAGAATGGCATAGCAGCAGGGAATTTCCTCCCCACAGGCACCAGCACACATCCCTGCGAACCCCAACATCACTGCAGGGGCTGAGGAGCTAGAGAGAGTAGAGCTTCTGGGCACTAGAGGGCGCTACATACAAATATGAAACATCAAAGGAACCTGGTTCAAAGCAAAATCTCAGTATCACCAGAAAAAGGGTCAAGTGAGACTGAACTAATAAATCTTCCTGAAAGAGATTTCAAAATAAAAATCATAAACATGCTCCTGGAGGTACAGAAAAATATTCAAGAACTCAGGAACAAATTTAGGATGGAGATCCAATCGTTGAGAAACATAATGGAGGGTAAATAAAAGCAGATTAGATATGGTGAAGGAGACAATAAAATGAAACAGAAACTAGAGAAGAGGAATAGAAAGAAGCTAAGGCACAGAGAGAGAAAAGGATCTCTAAGAATGAAAGAATATTGAGAGATCTGTGTGACCAATCCAAATGGAACAATATTAACATTATAGGGGTACCAGAAGAAGAGAAAAAGGGATAGAAAGTGTCTCTGAGGAAGTAACTGCTGAAAACTTCCCCAATCTGGGGAATGAGATAGTCTCTCAGGCCATGGAAGAGCACAGATCTCCCAAAACAAGGGACCCAAGCAGGACACCACCAAGACATATAATAATTAAAGTGACACAGCTCAAAGATAAGGACAGACTATTAAAGCAGCCAGAGAGAGAAAAAAGATCACATACAAAGTAAAATAAAACCCATCAGGCTATCATCAGATTTCTCAGCAGAAACCTCACAGGCCAGAAGGGAGTGACATGACATAATGCAGTGAAGCAGAAGGGCCCTGAACCAAGAACACTCTATCTGGCAAGACTATCATTTAAATTTGAAGGAGGGATTAAACAATTTCCAGATAAGCAAAAGCTGAGAAAATTTAGCTCCCAAAACCAGCTCTACATCATATTTTGGAGGGACTACTATAGATGGAAGTGTTCCTAAGGTTAAATAGCTGTCACCAGAGGTAATAAAAAGGGATAGACAAAGAGTACAGAATATGATACTTAGTATATAAAGAATGGAGGAGGAAGAAAAGAAGGGGGGGGAAAAAAACAACCTTTAGATTGTGTTTGTAATAGCATACTAAGTGAATTAACTCTTAGATAGTAAGAAAGTTACCTTTGAACCTTTGGTTAACACGAATCTAAAGCCTGCAATGGCAATAAGTACATACCTACTGATAATCACCCTAAATCTAAATCATGTGATTGCACCAATCAAAAGACAAAGAGTCACTGAATGGATGAAAAAATAAGACCCAAATCCCAAATGAACAGTCTAAACTCACTATTACCAAAACTAGAAAAAGAAGAACAAATGAGGCCTGAAGTCTGTAGAAGGAGGGACATAATAAAGATCAGAGCAGAAGTAAATAAAATCAAGAAGAATAAAATAGAAAAAATGAATGAAAGTAGGAGCTGGTTCTTCGAGAAAATAAACAAAGGAAAAATCATTACTGACACCACAGAAATACAAAGAATTATGAGAATACTATGAAAAATTAATTATATGCTAACAAACTGGATAGAAGAAATGGAAAACTTTCTACAAAAATACAACCTTCCGAGATTGACCCAGGAAGAAACAGAAAATATGAATAGACCAATTACCAGCCAGAAATTGAATTGATAATCAAAAAACAACCTAAGAACAAAACCCCTGGGACAGATAATTTGACTGCTGAATTTTGTCAAACATTTAGTGAAGACCTAATATCCATCCTCCTTAAAGTTCTCCAAAGAGTAGAAGAGGAGGGAATACTTCCAAACTCATTCTATGAAGCCAGCGTCATTCTAATACCAAAACCAAGCAAACACACCACAAAAAAAGAAAATTACAGACCAATAACCCTGATGAACATAGATGCAAAAATACACAACAAAATATTAGCAAAGCAAATTCAAAAATACATCAAAAAGATCATCCATTAGGATCAAGAAGAATTTATTCCAGGGATGCAAGGATGGTACAGCATTCAAAAATCAATCAACATCATCCACCACATCAACAAAAAAAGAAAAAAACGCCATGATCATCTCCGTAGATGCTGAAAAACCATTCAACAGAATTCAACATCCATTCATGATAAAAACTCTCAACAAAATGGGTACGGAGGGCAAGTAGCTCACCATAATAAAGGCCATATATGACAAACCAACAGCCAACATTATACTTAACAGTGAGAGGCTGAAAGCTTTTCCTCTAAGATCAGGAACAAGACAAGGATGCCCACTCTCCCCACTTCTATTCAGCATAGTTCTGGAGGTCTTAGCCATGGCAATCAGACAACACAAAGAAATAAAGGCATCCAGATTGGCAAGAAAGAAGTTAAACTGTCCCTGTTTGCGTATGACATGATACTGTACATAAAAAACCCTAAAGAATCCACTCCAAAACTAGATCTAATATCTGAATTCAGCAAAGTTGCAGGATACAAAATTAATACACAGAAATCTGTTGCATTCCGATATACTAACGATGACCTAGCAGAAAGAGAAATCAGGCAAACAATTCCATTCACAACTGCATCAAAAAAAAAAAAAACCTAGGAATAAACTTAACTAAGGAAGTGAAAGACCTGTACTCTGAAAACTACAAGACACTCATGAGAGAAATTAAATAAGATACCAATAAATGTGAACACATCCCATGCTCATGGATAGGAAGAATTAATATTGTCAAAATGGCCATCCTGCTTAAAGCAATCTATAGATTCAGTGCAATCCCTATCAAAATACTAACAGCACTCTTCAACAAACTAGGGAAAATAGTTCTAAAATTCATATGGAACCACAGAAGACCCCTAAAAGTCAAAACAATCCTGAGAAGGAAGAACAAAGCTGAGGGATTATGCTCCCTGACTGCAAGCTCTACTACAAAGCCACAGTAACCAAGACAATTTGGTACTGGCACAAGAACAGAACCATAGACCAATGGAACAGACTAGAGATTCCAGATATAAACCCAAGCATATATGGTCAATTAATACATGATAAAGGAACCATGGACATACAATGGGGAAATGACAGCCTCTTTAACAGCTGGTATTGGCAAAACTGGACAGCTACATGCAAGAGAATGAAACTGGATTATTGTTTAACCCCATACACAAAAGTATACTTGAAATGGATCAAACACCTGAATGTAAGTCATGAAACCATAAAACTCTTAGAAGACAACATAGGCAAAAATCTCCTGAACATTCTCCAAAGAAATTCAGATGGCCAACAGGCACATGAAAAAATGCTCCATATCACTAATTATCAGGGAGTGCAAATAAAACCACAATGAGATATCACCTCATACCAGTTAGGATGGCCAGTATTGAAAAGACTAAGAACAACAAATGTTGACAAGGATGTGAAGCAAGAGGAACCCTCCTACACTGCTGGTGGGAATGTAACTAGTTCAACAATTGTGGAAAGCAATATGGAGGTTCCTCAAAAAACTAAAAATAGAAATATCATTTGACCCAAGAATTTCACTCTTAGGAATTTACCCA